GCAACTTTTATGTTTTGTTTTTTTTAGTCAGGGTTTCTGTCTGTATATGTGTAGTATCTAGTTGTTTATCTGGTATTAGTATGGACTTGGATTTTTACTCCCAGTACTTCTAAACTGGGCTACTGTAGTGTGTTACAGCCTGGTGTCCGAGGCCCAGAGCCAGGACCAGAGACAGACCTGGTTCTGGATTATTAATGTCCCCCTTCCCTGTGAAGCCAGGCTCCCTCCCCCTCCCAGTGCCCTCCTACACCCCTGAGGTCAGCCTGCATGGCTCCTGGTGCAAGGCACCCCTCATAAATCTCCCTAAATTAGTGTGTATATGTCTGTGTGTGTGTGTGTGCTTCCACACTTAAACATATACTGCAGGCAGGGAGACAGGTCACCATGAAAACAAGCCAGTCAGGCTCTCAGTCGAAGTGGCAGTGATGCATGGTGAAAAAACAAAACGAAAGAAGAAGTTGCAGAGAAAAGAAACACTAGGGAGCATAAAGAAAATACACAAAAGAAAAGGTGAGGAAGAATCTCTGAGAGCACCAGACTTCACTTTTAGTTTAGTTATCTATTTGTCACTCCTTTTTTTTTCTAGTGTAACATTATATTTTCTCACAAATATTTACGCATCATCTGAACTTTCCTCGGACTTCATTAGAATATATTTTCCTGAACAAATCTTAATGCTTAATTGCTGAAGTGTCAGATCGTCCATCCTTCTACCTGCTTAGATTAGTTCAACATGTCCCACTGTGGTAACAGGCATAAAGAAGTGCTGTTGTGTCACTTAGTTAACCCCCGAGACAAATGGCTCCCCTCTAGAGCACAGTGAATTACACACCTCATGAAGCATATTAGGAGCCAGACACAATGCTTTTCTTCTGGAGATGATCTGTACGACAGAAATGGATGGCGGGAGAGGAAGGGGCTGAGTTATAGCATCACCCACAGTCATTTTTACAGCATACTGGCATCAGAACAAAACAGAGAGAACAGGGAGCGGAGGGGCAAAGAATAATGAAATGAGACATAAAGATGTACAGCACAATGTGTAACAAAAGGCTGAGGACATGAATAAACTACCGAAGAGGATAAAACAACATGTTTCTAAAGTTACCCCTGTTAAATCTGACAAGGAAGCAACTCTTTACCTCATTTGTGGCTAATGTACAAAAATTATTAGAAAATCTAACAGAATTGTCCCTCGGAGGCTTCCTTGCTGTTAGCTAATCGCTTAGACAATCTTCATCACTGCACTAATAATATTTAGATGCTACAGGGATTACTTAAAAGTTGTGTTATAATTGCTTTCCATGTTTTGTTTTTTATGGGCAGGGGATGATTTTGTGTTTAATTGCTCCAAAGTGACAAATAATGCCCGTTAAGATATGATGAAACTGTGAGATCATTAAATTACTCCAGCAACTGGCTACATGTGTTTATTTGTTCGTTTTCGCTGTTAGAAATTTATGCCACGAGGCTTTAAGAGGCCAAGCACTTATTTACACAAATTCACTTCCACAGCCATTCCTGGATTTGGGGGTAATTACGTGAGAGCAAAATGGTTTTATTTCATTTAATCCGACCGGCACAGCAGTTTGCACTGGTAATATTTGTAGCCGTGGAGTCTGCACAGTAAAACAGCTTGAAACCAGCAAGAGCCTCAAATACAAACAAGGTAGAGGAGGCAATAATCAAAACAAAATTCTATGCAGGAGACAATGCTGTCTATAGACTGAAAATTGATGCTTTGAGATGGGATGCAGTGTAATTTTGGTACAGTATAAGACTGAAACCAGGGTTTCAGAGATACTGAGGTAAGGAGTCTAAATGTAAACAGCACAAGCAATAAATGTTTGAATACCCACAAAAGTGCATGCAAGAGTTACCAATTTTTAGCAGTTTGAATCATTTATTAATTATTATCGACTGCCACCTTGTTAAAAGAAAGGAATGGATCTAAAAAATACCACAATTTTTATGTAATTGTAGAATGTAAATGACCAGCCTGACTTCATTGTCCTCAATGGTCATGATAGGAGTTGAGAAAATTTTATATTGGCATCAAAAATGATTTCTGATTTAATTCAGCTTTTTTTTTTTCTTTTTTTTTTGCTCTGCGCTTTAAAAGCTGGATTGAACTCAATATTTGTGCCAGCTATACAGAGCAGTGATTCCCAGTGAGGGGGACTCGTATTGCAACTGAAAAGATGAAAAGACTGTGGAGTAGCTAATTTGATTAAAAATTAGAAGTGATGATTGCATTAATATCTACTCTATATCAACATACGCACATGTTTTGATGAGGAAAATAAACACCCAAATAGGATTACAAATTGACGTGATGCTGGTCTTTACTAAATTTATTGTCACATTAACCAATAAGCTACAAGCTGCAAGAGGCTGACTGCCCAGTTCACCAACCTCAATCAGTTCTAACCCTCTAAAGCCTCATATTGTTGTTAGATTTCATGATAGGTTGAGCAGCAAAGTAGTAACTATTCTTTAAGAGGAATGGCTGAATAACTGGAATACTAAATCTAAAACTGAAGGATGAACAGTTGAAATAATTAGCTATAAAGGTCATGAATGAATAGTTTCTTTAGGATGTGGAGGTGAGCTGTTAACATAAGACACAGAGCAGCAATTGCAAAGCAATACATTTGTTCATAATATTGATGGAAAGGTAAAGAAATGATGATCACAGAGAGCTGAACAGAGCAAATGAGAGAATTATAGGCTATTGCCAGATATCTGTCCATATTTACTGGTCAGATGTCAATCGAATTATATAGAAATCCTCATGGTAATCTCTTTGCTTTTGCACATCAACACACACTGCTCTTAATCCGCGCTGCTCCCCCACCATCACCACCACACACATGCTGTTGATCCATGTAAAAGTGTGCAGCAGTGATTCCAGTCCTCCAACACCTAGGTAGATGAGACAGAGCGCAGAGGAATCAACATGCTGCAGTTTTGTATTGTTTCCATGCGGCTGACTCCCAACTCCTCAAGTCAGTCAGATGAGCCACGCTTACACGAAGGGACAAACTAGGTGTGCTGACTCTCCTTCTCTTTTTCACACACTCTGTATCATAATTTTCATTCTTTCTCACTCCAAGCTCTAATATTTAACCTCCTGATATGGTCACCTCTGACTCCAGTGACCCCAAGTTTCTTCCTTCCACCATCATCCATCCATCATGAATACCTCAGAAAAGGAAGAGGAGGAGGTGGACAGTTGGGGAAAGAGCAGAATCAATGAATTAAACAGCAGGTGCAGCAAAGAAGGTGGAGATGTTGGACAAGTGGATGTAGTCCACAGCCGTCTGCACGGCTGCTCTGACCTCGAGGAGATAAGAAAGTTGGGAGACCCTCAGCCACCAACAGCCACTGTGAAAAAAAAATCCATCTCTCTGCTTCATGAATTATTGAGATATTGGCCTACAGCTTCTAAAATATACAGGAGGGTGGTCTGTCTCTTTTCGGGTTTCACATCCTCTACCTTCTGTCCATTTTTCTATCATTTTCTGCTCTCACTTTTTGCCTACGAGTATATCCCTCTCTCAATTCTTTCCTTTGGCCCCTTCTAATTCAGATTTAGCCTCTTGCACCAGTGAGATCATAAATCAGAAGACAAACAAAGCCAAAGAAAGAAAGAGAGTAGCAGAGAAAGACAGTTTGTTATTCACATCATAAGAGCCGTTTTCTTCTTTACTTGATAGAGCATCTACCACTAACCAGCTGTCATGCATTTAAAACTTGCCATGGATAAATTCACGAGTTCTTGTGTTACATCAGCTGCTTGTAATGTGCACAGCAGTAGGCTGGCCCTTGAATTGAGACAGAACTCTGGTCTGTCCATTTATCTTCTTTGCTCTTTTTTTTCTTGTCTACTTGAAGCAATTGTCCAAAGCAAAGCAAGCTACTGCGTTTTGGGGGGGGGGGGCATCCCCCTATGTGTGTGCGTGCATGATTATATCTAAGGCACTTGGCTCCAAACACGCTGCCCAGTGCAGAATCCTCACCATAACAAATGAACAGAGGGGAGAAAATAAGACATATGAAAGAAAAGCTGAGCAAAGGAGTGACTCTCTCTCTGGCTGCTGGAGATCTGTATTGTAAGCAGTTTCAGCTGTCAGCACTTCTTTGAGCTTCCTCAAAGGGCGGAGGAGAGGGAGGGGGACCAGGAAATGTTGTAGTTTTTATTTCCCCCTTTTTGAGGCTTCCTGTTTATTTGTACACTGTTCTGTTTATTTTCACATTTCATTTGATTTTGAGTGTTTCGCAGAAAGGAGAGTAGATAGATGCACTTGTGCTGTAGTTTCAGTAGAAGAAGAAGTTACCAGGCTCCAAGTCTTGGGGCGGTGCTAGGGAATAAATTGTCAGCTATCCCCTCAGACCTCCAATGCCTCACTCCCCACCATACATACATACATACATACACATATATATATATACACAAACTCCAACTCACCCCTCTTCTCCTCTGACCCTCCCTCCTCCCTCCCTACCTCATTAAGTATTGATGTGGGTAGCCATACTTGCCATCTCAGACTATTAATAATGCATGGTAGGTGCTGTTGATGTGGTCTCTCACACTGAGATTGAGAGAGGCAGGAATGGCAACACTGTGCTGAATAGTAGCTACAGCACAACCTCCGTCACACACTTCTGCAGCCCATGGGGGGTGGGGGGTGGTGGCTCCTGCATCTGCCCCAGTAAGTTTATGGTGAGCTTTGACAGCAGCTCGGAGATGGATATACAAGGTAGCATCTTACTCAATATCCTGGGGCTGTTTTTACATAGAAAACTGTCTTTGTCATAAACAACTGATGGATGAGCGTAGGATAGTTTATGAGCCTTGTCTGCCATGTCTGTTTTATTTGTTTTATTTGTGTTTTGTGTTTTATTGAAGTAGCTCACAGTGTACTTTCACTGACACACAGATGCACTTTCAGTATTCACCAGTTTTGTTCTGTCTCTCTCTTTCTTGGTACATGCAGGTTCTTCCTCAAGTTCTTCCTGAAGTGCAACCAGAACTGTTTAAAAAATGCAGGGAACCCTCGAGACATGAGACGGTTTCAGGTGAGACACAGAAGTCTGCATGCATACAGTATGTAATTGTCTAAGTCTTGTGTTATAGAGTGGATAAAACCTGTCTTTCAGGTGTTTATTACAAGCTAATAGAAGTGGCATCAGTTCCCTGCAATATAAAGAAATGAAAAGCATTCACAGGGTCTCTCTAGCATTAATTACCTCTGTGCCTTTGTAACAAATTGAACAAAGTTACAAACTACCCCACATTAGCCAACGTGGTCTCAACACTGCACCCTAGCACTGCTAGCTACACAGCGGGTCTGCCATAAGTATGCCTGAAAGGCATGAAAGGGGTCACACGTGTGGTGACAAACCCAGGGAGAACTATCACCTGACTTTGCAGTTCCCCTCAGCTCCATGGAGCTTTATAGTGACTTTGAACTCATTGTTTAGGATGTCCAGCTCACAACTTTTATCATCATTTTGTGCTGTTTTCAGCACAAAGCTCTAAAAACACACTCTACACTGGCAACAAACGTTAAACATAGCGATTAGTGGGCAACCATAGTAGAGCATTGAGTAGCTGCATTTCACTGAGGAATTAGTTGAGGCCAAAACCAGAGATGCAAGGAATCTTGCTTTTTCCAGGCGGCCAAAAACAGAACTCCACATTATCTCTAATGTTGCTATGTGCCTGTTAAATATGTAAGTAGGCAACTGTATGCTAACATGTTCGTAATATCAACTTAAAAGGTGGTAATATGTATCTTTTATAACCATAATTCTTTTCCACTGCCCCAAGCTGGGCGATAAAATCAGTTATAACAGGTTTTATGCACCTTAGCATTAAATCAATAACAAAGCCAAGAAAATGCATACATTCCAAGAAAAAAATACAGAAAATCAAGTGCAAATGCAACAAGATTTTAAAGTATTAGGCTCATAATTTAACACAGCACCATGCACACATGCATTACATTTATTGTTTTTGATAGTTAAATTCATGGTTCATATCTTTCTGTTTGTCAGGTGGTTGTGTCGACTACAGTGAGTGTGGAGGGTCATGTCCTGGCCGTCTCTGACAACATGTTTGTGCACAACAATTCGAAACACGGGCGCCGAGCTCGACGACTTGACCCATCGGAAGGAACGCCGTCTTACCTGGAACACGGTATTGGAAGCAAGAACAAAATACCCTAGACTGTCTCTCCTTGCCTTCTTTGTCATCCTCACTTTCTTTCTCTCTGTTCAGCTCCCCTCCCCCTCGCCCCCTTCCCCCCGGTCTGGCTCCGCACTCAACCACTCTTCTATCTCCGCTCTATCCCCCCTCAAACCTGCTCTCTTGCTTTCCTTCTTATCTCTCTCCTGCTTCCTCTAGGATTCTCACTTTCTTCTCTAGTAGGGTTTCTAACTCCCACTAGGAGAGGAGAGAGTGGTAGCTAGTGAGTCTTTTGTCTCTCCCTTGTGGCTTGCTCCCCTCAGGTCTCTGCCTCTGGGCCTTCTACTCTGTCTCGCATAAGCACTATGTGTCTTATGAGGTCTGTTCTGCTTAAAGCCAACACTGGCTTTATTTCCTCGGAGACCTGCTTTTATCCTCCAGCCCTCCATCACTCCTCATCCCTCAGGTTTTCAAACTTGCCCATGCGCACACATACACACACCCCACAGACCCAAACCTTAATACTTCATAATGACATGTGCACATGATTTAGGAGCATGCACTGATTCCCAAGTCCCTAATCCAGTTATTTTCTCATTTTGGTTTCCCAGACATTGAATAAGAGAAACTTTTTTTTTTTTGAGGAAAGTCGACCTCAGGGATAATAATGACAAAAAACTAAGAAGGGATTTACATGATGGCCTAGAGTAGATTGCATTAAGATTGAATGTTATGGTTAAGTCTTTCTAATGGCTATCATTGAGAGGTAAGGTGGACCACTTCATGACCACAGGTCTCACAGACAACTAGAAAAGTTCATGAAGATGAGCTATATTGGAGACATCAGTGAGACTTGGATCTTTCACAGAAAGAAGAGTACACACAGAATACTAACAGATGTCCCCGTGTCAGAGAGATTTGTTTGGGAATTTCCTCTTCTCTGATTTTCTGTTCCCCTAATGATGGGGGTCAGAAAGAGGAACACCAGGAGTGAAGGAACAAAAACGAGGAGGGGATGGAGAGATGTGTATGATGAGAGGAACAGTTACAAAGGTCACAAAGAAAAGATAAAACACAAGAAAGTAGACAGCATTTTCTTTTTTCCCTTCCCCTCTTCTTTTTCTAGCATGTGTTGAGTTTATGTGCAGGATACTCAACTTTGGGGGCCCATTTGAGGCAGTAATAGATGAGCAGTGCATATAGTTGAACAGATGGCACCGAGGAACACCCCAAAGTATAATCCTATCACATGGATTCACGTTCCACCATCTGGTTAATCCACACACAGATACACATAAACACACACACGCACATGGAGCGCACATAATATCAGCGGCTGTAAAAAGCAGGCATCTTAGGCCATGATTACGGCCACAGATTGCTGCTTTGTGAATGCTGATCTCTACAGGCGTTATCGGGGGGCTAAATATCACCCCAGCTTGTTGGGGAGGATCAAAAGAACAGGGAGTTAGGCAAAGAGCAAAGGCTAGGCTGCAGGAAAAAAGTCAGCCTAGTCTAAAATGGATTATGTCGCTTTACAGAATTACAGCATGTCTGACAAGCTGCATATCTGTTAAGGAGAGGAGATTTAGCTTGTATAAATATACATTTTCCCCAGTGCTATCCTCTTCTTCAGTCACATTCAATAATCTGTAAGTCTATAATACCAACAGATAAGGTCAAGAAGCACACTGAACACTAGTTATTGAAAACACGGCTTATTGTTGTCATTCCATGTACTTTGTCCGATAAGATATAAAGAATACGCTTTAAGCTCTGAGCAGGGGCTGAAATGAGCCTGTGTCCCAACATCTAGGCACTGACATAGCCACACACATATATGAAACAGACAGCTGAGTAAGAACCAAATGTTCAGTTAATGAAGGTGAAGTATTCAGAGGGCAGAGCTACTGTTAGCTCTGCTCTGCTCCCTGGTCGCATGGCCTTTGATCAGACACTCAGCACACCTGACATTTACACGCCCGCACGCCTTGCCACGTGTCATAAAACAAGTGCACCGCTGCTGCCCTCACACGCAGGGCAGGGGTGATGTATAATAACTGGGTGCGTATAATCACTCCGATTAGTATTCCTTGCTCACCCTCGACCCCTGGGAGAGAGGAGAGAGGTGATGTGTGTGTGTGAGGGTGAGAAAGAGAGAGAGGTGGAAAGAAGAGGAGACTGTATATGGTGTCAATAGCAAAAACCTTCATGGACTGTCATTTGATTACTTAGCATCTAATCTGTTTTGCTTGTGAATCTCGCAGCAACCCCGAGCATCAAAGCCATCAGCCCAAGTGAAGGCTGGACCACAGGGGGCGCTACAGTCATCATCATTGGGGACAACTTCTTTGATGGCCTACAGGTCATCTTTGGAACCATGCTGGTCTGGAGTGAGGTTAGTTAAACCAGCCTTTTTACTGTACATTGCTGTTAACCTGTGGCCTGGGGCTCCTTTAAAGCAATGTCTGCTCATGACCCCTCATCCCATGCTATGGTCTTGGTGTCAGGATGAGTTTTGAACATTTTAACCAAAAAGTATTTTTTCCATCAATTTCTTCTTTTGAAGGATTTCAGTTAAGGTAAAAATGTAGAATAATGCATCTAGCAAAAATCTTTTTCTTCCTTATTAATATGATCAAGCCCTCAGGTTGGGAACCACAACAGTAAACAAATCCTTAAACAATTAGTTGATCACTAGATAATTTAATGAAAATAACTTCTTTAATCAGTTCATCATTTCCCATAGAGTAAAAGTACAAAACATTAGCTGGGTACACTTGCTCAAAAGTGAAAATGTTTACCTTTATTGTGTTTTACAGTACATTGTTGTGAACTTGTATCTTCATTGTGATTTTATTTTAATTGCTCATACAAAATAAGGCATCTGAAGATGGCACCATGGTCTCTGTAATATTGCAATGGGCATTTGTTATTATTTGCTGTCTAAATACGTAATCAAGTAAATGAAAAAATACTTAATAAATTAATCAGTAATGATTAATTGCAGCACTGTAAGCCCATATGAGAAATATTTTACAACCTGCTTTCTCATTTCTCTCTGTGGCAGCTCTTATTTCTGTCACATCTCAGCTCAGCTCCCTTCCTGTCTTTTATTATGTTAGCATCTGCCTTCTTCAAATATGTGCATGCCATATAGTGTGAATCTCTTTGTAAGGAGCATCTGCCACATGACTAAAATGTAAATGTAGTGTATGTGTGAAATTGAAGGTCAGTGAGAGGTGCAGCTAAACTGCTTTCTCTCTAGTAAAGGAATAATTCTATAAAAAGCTCCTACTGTATATTGTCTCGCTGAGAGGTGAGTGGGGCCAGACAATGGTGGAATGAAAGCCTAGCTAACTGAGCAATGAAAGGTACAGTTAGAACAATACACACATACTGTATATGCACATACACAAGGTGCTGGCAGCAGCAGCAGTGATAGCTTTTGAGCGCTGCTAGCTTTGAGTGCTACGTAGTTTACTACAGCATGCAGAAAATGAGCACTCAGTGAGGTCTCATCTGTGTTTTGTCTTGTTGCCATTTTCCTTCAAAGACCCTTCAGCATACAAACGCACATCCACATACACTAGGCTCATCAGCCACACTATGTGAGCTTGCTTAAAATGTAGTGGTTCTTTAATGTGGCTAATGGCAGCTAGACAGCCACAGCTGACAGACAAAAAGTTAAGGGCAGCAAGGACAAGTATATTATACATTTACTTATTCTGTGTAATAGACATACAGTGGAGGAAAGTGTGTTTTATTCAGAAAGAGATAACTGCTTTTGAACCCCCCCTTTCAGAGTCCATGTCAGCACTGATAACCATCCAAAGCCTCACAGTGACATTGCCTTGGGCTATGAAGCCACCTGAGGGCTGTAGCACTAACACGTCATTTTCAGGCTGATTATACAAAGAAAGAAAAGCTGCAAAAGAAAGGTCTGAGATGAGCCGAGAAGAGTCCCCAGAGCACATTTAGATATGAAGTTTCATTGCATTAATCTTTCCGCCTTCTGTGTCTCTTCATAGCTGATCACCCCCCATGCCATTCGTGTGCAGACTCCACCCAGACACATCCCCGGGGTGGTAGAGGTCACGCTGTCCTACAAATCCAAGCAGTTCTGCAAAGGCACACCTGGACGCTTCATCTACACAGGTACTACATTTCGTAATGACAGACACCAATAATGCAGCACAAATCTACAGTTCTGCAATAATTCATTTTTGACTTTTCTTATATAGTTTTATTCTGGATTCTACAAAAAGTAACAATTACATTTAGTATTATTTCAAAGAAAAACAACTTCTTTACATGGTGGCTTTAAGTTTTATTAGGTTTGTGATGAAAAAGAGGAAAGAACTCTGTATATTAGTAATATCTGATCAAAGTAACCTGGTACCTAGTTTAAACCTAGTTTACAAGCTGCAATTTTTTCTACACTTTTTGTAGAAAAAAATTGTGCATGCTTAACAATTTAAAATTCAATAACATGACTCAATATTTCAGGGGAAAAGCCCAGGAGGAAAGTTTTTGCCCTCTTTTATGAAGGAGGTGAAGGTCAGGGCAAGGTTTAACCTTTTGATTAGTGGGATTATGGAGATTTAACCCTGTCAAAGACATGATTCAGAAAGGAAAAGGTCCATGCAGATTGTGATTTTTGCCAGTGAGTTCAGGGACACAAACAGCTTGAGCATTACATCAGGCCGTATTGATGCAGAATAATAGCTGTGTGGTGAAAAGAGCAGGAGACAGTGAATACGAAGCAGTGATTAACCACTGTGAGGCCACAGGTCCCTGGGGAGATTGTGAATCACATAAATCTGTCTGTAATCTCAACCACTGATAGACTTAGGCCGTAAGCCCTGGCTGGAATTGCCAACATTTGACAAAATCACCACTGAGAGAGTGTGTGAGTTGTATCGCCGGCATACATTTTCTGAATTTTGTGTGTGTCCTAATTACTGCGCAGGGACACAATCCATGTTCATGCGTCATAATTATGACTCTGTGTTTGTGTACTTATTGGAAAGGCTGCAATGGGCTGTGTTTGCTTCTACGAATGTGTGAATGTACTCCAAGCACACACATGCACGTTGACAAGTAACTGCATTACGAAGACAGAGGGCAGATGGGCGGGCAGCCTTTGCCATGCCAGAACTGTCCAACAGCCAGCACTCTGCCAGATTCATAGAGCTGTGTGCATATAAGTGTGTGTAGGTGTGTGTCTGTGCGCGCACATCCGTTTAATGTGCCAGACTTGTGAGAACCATATGCATAAACGCCCTAGCTCTTCCCGGCACTCCACTCTTTCACCTTGTCATATTCACTTATTCAAAACTTGCTTCTTTTGAATGAATTCATAGCCTCCTCTCTCTTCGGTTGCCTCTTGGCCTTTATGGAGGCACACAGAGGAATCTCAACAGGTGAGGGGTAGCAAGAGGTCATCCACTGGGAGCTGAACACCCACACTGTGATGCTGCTTGCCAAGCACTGGCACCTTCACGGTGACACAGCCAACCGTGTCAAGGCACAGATCCCAGTTCAACTCTTCAGCAACGCATAACTTTAGCTGCTGCTCTGTACCCTCAACTGGGTATTTGTACCTGTTCTACAGCTCATTTTCAGCTCTCTTTATCATTTCCCCTTATCGTAGCAAGGAATAGGCTTCTCGTATTCTGTATCTTGAATGAGAGGCAGAAAGCGACAGGAGGATGAGCAGAGCATTTGGATGGAAAAAGCAAATGATGAGAGTGGAGAGACAGCGAGGTGGATGAGAAAGAGTAGAGGGATGGGATGGAGAGATCGAGGATTACCATGGGCCATGTTGCCCTCCTGGGTCTGTTTGGCACCGGTTTGAGCCCAGTTGCCAGTGGGTACTAATCATGGAGGATTGGCAGCACTGCGTGGCAGCTGGCAGCTAGCGCAACACAGCCCCACACTCAAACACATGCATATACTCATATATTACATGCACACACACACATGCACACACTGAATTACATTGGGGGCAGCTGGCATTGCTAATCAACTTCTGCTGAGGAGAGGAAAGCGAGCAGCTCACATCCCTAATTAAGTCAACACATACCCAATACTGCTGCTACTGCTACTCTGCAAAAACACCCAACACATACACACACACACGTAACCCATCTATAGGTTAGCTCACCCACACCCTACCGTACGTGGTCACCGATACTCCCCAACCAGCCGTCACTGAATGGAAAAAAATGCAGCTGTAGTTCAGGACAGAGGAGAGAAGCAGGGGACTTTTGGTGCAGAGGAGATTTGGAGAGAAGCTATTATAGTAATGTGTCCTCTGTCGTCTCTGAGGACTCCTCTGCCATTAGACTTCAGAAAACCCCAATTAGACTCATCAAAGGCAATTAAGCTCTCCACTGATAAGAATGTTTTTTCATTCTCTGCTCTTCCTCTGTCTTTTTATCCCTTTATCCCCCCTCTGCTCCCCTCTCTGCCCTCTGCCTTACCCACCTCTGGGGCTGAGAGCAATCCCTAATCTCTCTCTCCCTCTCTGTCACTCTCATTATCAGGTCATTGCCCACCCCCGACCTTTATCCCCTGTGCTAGTGTATCTCTATGTTTGGTTGAATATCACCTTTTACTGGATTACTGTCTTTGTAGCATTCATCAGAGATGCTCTCCCTTTTCTTTTCTCCCTGCAATATAGAGTGATAATACTCTCTGCCACTAGGACCTGTGTGTGTTTGTGAGCATGACACAGGGATGGCCATAGATTGGAGGAGTTGATGAATCACCCTTGTCGTTCAAAAGGCAATCCCTCCCTCCTCAGTATGCAGCCTTGTCCGCTTAGTGCTTCCACTACAGCCTCTGTTGATATTAAAAGGCTCTGCTGGCTCACATTAGGGCTGGCACCATGCACAGTGACACACATCTGAACACACGCACGCACATAGGAATAGTTTTTCAGTCCTGAGTGCAGATTAGGTTTGTAGGAAACATCACTCAGTTTTGACGAAGAGGTGCAGGAACAGCGAGGGAAAAGACAAAAAGTCAAGAACAGAATTTAAACCAGCCAAGACGCTGCTGACATCTCTCTCCCTTCCTCTCTGCCTTTGTCTGAGCTCCAAATTAGGTTTAGGAGCAGAGAGAGAGGGCTCTTGTCTCTCACTACAGACACTAGAGTGAAACATAAATGATGCTGCAGTAAGTGTTGCAAGTATGAACATGCTCTGTAAAGTTTTTATTTTTTTATTATTCTTAGCTCTAGTTGAGCTGTTCCACACAGTGATCACATCAGCTTATCACACAATGTCAGAGCACTTCAGATTTGTAAATACGGTTGTAGATGGTTGTGCTGATGTCACAGTTTTGGTGCAGTTTCTCTGATCATCATTGAGTAAATGTGTTCCTGCTTTTGTTACAAAGTTGCCATAGATTTACACACATATTTTACATTCATGTGCACATGTGCACACACTCACATCAGAGACACACAAATGCTGCATGTAGTCATCTGGCAATAAAAGTGGGGTGCAACCACAAGCTGGTCAATTACTTGCCCTGCTCCTATTTGTGAATGCTGTCTTTTATTGAGCTTGGGTGGAGGCCTGCTGTTGATTAAAACGGCTGGTCTCCAGCTGGAGATGGGGCCAGCTGAGATAGCTGCACACATTCGCATGTGCTACGCACTGTCTTAACTGTGAGGAAATTCACACCTCTATTTGAGATTGAGATTAATTTTCTGCACCATGTGGCTTGTCTTCCCTCTTTAGCATTCACCCGTCTTATCACAGCAGCATCTGCTTCATGATAATGATGTAAATGAATTTTGAGCGTAGATTATTTTACACCCTGCTGAAATGAGCAGTGTTCACCATGGGGCATGGTTTCTTATGTTTTCTTATATCTTAATTGAAGTGTGCAGGTTTCATCCAGATTTTTTTTTTTTTTTTTTAGAATTTGCATTCTCACAGTGACGATCCGTGCTGCCAGGTATTGTTAACTGTCAACGTGCGCTTTTTCCAACAGATAATTAGAGTGTAGGTTGTAGTAACATCCGCACCTCCACTGATTTGTTGAATTTCTCAGCACCCCACACACACACACACACACATATATAGACTCCCATCTATGCTCTCCTCATTTTCCTCCTCCCTCTACCTCTCCCTTCCTTTAGGAGCAAAAAGCTCTACTCATCTGTTTTCTGCGTATGAATTTCCAGCCATGCATTAGTCTCCCTGACATGTTCAAGCGATGCTTTATTTAGCTTGTCGGATTCTGCAAATAAACGCAATCTTGGGGTTTATGGAAAAATGGATAAAAATTAGATTGTAAGGTATTGATCTGGATTGTAAGTAGTCAGTGGGGGTATTGTGTGTGTGTGTGTATGTGTGTGTATAGTGGTGGTGATGGGGGGCAGCTCTCAGGGGGAGAAAAAGAAAGCCGTAATCCGGGGCTATTGAACCCCCTGCCACTGGCGGCATCGATCGCCAGGCAGCGCTTATGAGATCACACCTGAGCACTGGAGACTGCAGAGGGGAGGGAAAGCGGGGGGAGAGAGAGAGGGAATGTGAGGAGGGAGATGGGAGGCGAAGGGGTAGAGAGAAACAGAAGGTCGTGATATGATCAGCTCCTTACCCACTGTCTGAGGGCCTGTTAGGGTGTTAACATCAAGCCTCAGAGCCAATTACCTAACCCTGCAAGTACACAACCCACTCACCTCCACACACACACACACACACACACATACATACACACACAGTGTTGTGACACAAGAAGAGAAGGAGACAGGTCTTATGGAAACTTGCAGTGGTTTCCCCTCCTCCTTCTCTCTTCTGTTTCCAGGACAACTTCACTGTTCTGACCTCTCAATTACCCCTC